TGAAAGTAAAAAACCGCTTCGCTCGCGCGGGCGGGAGACGGCGCGTTTAGCCGCGAAACGGGGCCATGCCAGACGAGTCGCCTGCGGCCGGGACGCCAGCCGAGACGGGTGCGGCGGCGGCGCCCGCGGTGGCGGCGCCCGGGACAGCAGCGCCGGCGAACGCGCCCGGGACGGCAGCGCCGCCCGCTGCTGGTGCGCCGGCGCCGATGCCCTCGGTGCCGGCGCTGTGCGAGGACATGCCCCGCGAGGAGCTCAAACAGTACCTCAAGGAGTATTCGACGGAGAGCGGCCAGAAGCTCTTTGCCGCCGCCAACGTGGACATGCTCGAGCACCTTCCCATGTCCACCGTCTACGAGGCGTCCAAGAGCAGCGCCAAGTGGGAGCCGGTCGCCAACATGCTCTTCCCCGACAGCAAGGCGACGTCGGAGATCTTCTTGAGATGCGCGAGGCTAAGAAGGCCGAGACCGAGGCGGCGGCGTCGGCCAAGAAGTCGAGCGGCGCCGCACCGTGGTACAAGCCGGCGCGGCGGGCGCTGGGAGCCTATTCACAGAGGGCTAAACGGGTATTTTTTCGCGTCGCTGCGCGGCCTGGGAATAGGTAGGTAGGTGGGGCACGGAGCCTGGCGGTCGGCGCCCGCAATAGGTAGGTAGGTAGGGCGTTTTGGCGCGACTCAGTGCCGACAGACCCCCTATCTGGGTAGGAGCCGGAACCCTGGGGTGTACCCCGCCGACCGGCGTGGAAAAAGAAAAAATTGCCCATGAACCAACTCTCTCTGGCTTTCGGCCGAACATCCGCCTCCCCGCCGCCTCCCTCTCCACCGCCTCCAATTTATGACGGCGACGACGGTGCCGACACTGGCTCTGCCGGGCGGCGGAGTAATGCCGGCGATTGGCTACGGCACCTGGCTCTCGAAGCCGGGCGAGGTGTACGCGGGCACGAAAAAGGCGATAGAGCTCGGGTATCGGCACATCGACGAGGCGTGGGTGTACAAGAACGAGGCCGAGGTAGGCAAGGCGATCAAGGAGGTGATCGCGGAGGGCACGGTTGCGGCGCGCGCGGACCTGTGGATCACCTCCAAGCTGTGGCAGTGCCACCACCGCACGGAGCTCGTCCGGGAGGGCTGCCTTGACTCGATGACGCAGTTGGGCGTAGAGTACCTCGACCTCTACCTGATGCACTTTCCGGTGGCCTTTGTGCCCGGCTGCGACGAGGCGGTCTCGGCCGACCAGATGGATGACGTCCCCATCGAGGACACGTGGAGGGCGATGGAGAAGCTGGTGGACGAGGGGCTCGTGCGGCACATCGGCGTGAGCAACTTCGAGATTGCGGAGCTCAAGCGTGTGCAGGCGGTCGCGAGCAAGCCCATCGCATGCAACCAGTTCGAGACGCACCCGTACTACCAGCGCCGCGAGCTCTTCGAGTACTGCCAGTCGCACGGGATCGCAGTCACGGCGCACAGCAGCATGGGCGGCGGAGCGAACGCGATGAGGAAGTTCCACAAGAGCCCTCCGCTGACGGACGACCCGGTGATCGGCGAGATCGCCGCCAAGCACGGCACCTCGCCGCACGTCGTCCTGCTCGCGTGGGGTCTGCGGCGCCCCATGGCCATCATCCCGAAGTCGGTCACGCCGAAGCGCATCCAGGCCAACAAGGACGAGGTGCTCGCGCTCCAGCTCGACGAGGACGACCTCGCCAAGATCGCAGGCCTGGACAAGCCCGGCCTCGACGGCTGCTACTGCCACCCGCGCACGCCCTGGCTCGGCCGCTCCGAGTTCACCGGCGACACCAAGCACTACTACGGCTGAGGCGTGAAGCTGAAGTTGATCGCGGCTTGCCTCAGGCGGGGTGACTCGGGGCTCAGTGAAGCTCTCTCGTCTCTCCGACCCAAGATCGTCAATCTGTCGCTCTCTCGGCCGTCGGTGGCTCAAAATCGCTGTATGCCCTGGAGGCTGGAGCGCGTTGTTTGAGCGCGTCTATTTATATCGCGTTTGCGTTTCTCGTATTGCTATTTGATTTAAATTATTCCCATGAGCGGAGCGCAAGCGCAAGTGTACACACACACAACACTCTTGACACTTTTAGTCGAGGTGTCGAGCCGAACACACAGTGGGAAGAGCCGAACGGCATGCGCTGCGCTCCTGACCCTCTCCTGAGTCCTGTAGCACAAATCAGGCATACACATCCTGCAAACACATCCCGAGAATGTGCACACGCAAGGGCTCCACACCGCACCAGCGCACGACGTGACGGAGCACCACGCCACCCACAGGACTGCACGCAAGGAGGCACCAGCCGCTTCTCATTCGCCCCCTCAGACCTGCGCGAGGCCGAGCAGCGTGAACTCGGCCATCCGCATGTAGTCGATGGAGCGGTGCGACGCCTCGCTGTCCGAGTCGCTGTCGCCGTCGCTCTCCTCGTTCATGCTCTGCAGCAATTCGCTGACTGCGCCTAGGGTTTGGTGGGTTGGGGTTAGGGTTAGGATCAGTCGTGCCTGCAGCAGGTCGCCAACTGTGCCAGAGAGGGCAACTGCCGTGCCGGCTGCCGCGCCGCCCTCCTCGTCCTCCTCGTCCTCCTCGTCGTCGTCCTCCTCCTCCTCGATGAACTCCTCCTCCTCCTCCCACTCCTCCTCCTCCTCCTCCTCATCCCCACTCGGAGAGCCGCCCCCCTCCTCGCCCTGGCCGTCCTCGACCCCGCCTCCGACAGCACCGACCGTCTCCTCCTCGCCGGCCCCCTCCTCCTCGCCCTCGCCCGCCTCAAAGTTGTGGTTTGCAGGCCAGCACCCCCAGCGGCCAACCGCCTGCACCTTGTCCCCGACCAGCCGCGTGTGCCGATGCAAGTCACTGAGCGTCAAGCTCCAAGGGCTCACGCGCGCGTCGCGGCGGAAGCCGTCCTCGATGCTCGCCTCGGCCGCAAAGGCGGGACAGTCCCGCAGAAGCGTGAGCAGGGCGCGGCGCACACGCGTCGCACGTGCCTGAGCGAGCGCCTCGCCGATCGCATCGGGAGCCGCGGGCTGCGCAAAGCCGTGGATGCGGAGCCGCAGCGTGGGGTGGCGCTTTAGCAGCACCGCCACCCGCGCGACCGCCGCGAGAGAGCCGCTCTCCAGCTCGTCAGACGCAAACTGGAAGTAGATCCGCGGGAAGCGCGGCGGGTACTCGCACAAGTGGAGCCGCTCGAGGCTCCACGCGCAGTCGGTCGGCGCGAGGGACAGGTCGCCGCGCACGTTCCGCGCCTCGAGCAGCGCCCGGCGGCTAGCGGCGCACCAGCGTGCAACCTGTGGCTCGAGGAGCCGAGCATGCGTGGCGGTGCTCGCCTTGGCAAGGCGCGCCGCTGCAGCAGCCGGCATCAGCCGGACGACATCGAGGAGGGCGTCCGATTCCAGAAGGGCCTCGACGAGAGAGAAGGAGGGCTGGGCTGGCGTGTCGCCTGCGCCCGGCAAGATCTCCCCGGGCCTTTGAAGCATCGGCCGCCTCGCACGCCTCGTCTTCGGCCACCAAGCAGCCAAACTCGGCGACGCCAGCGTGCCGGCTCCTATCTTTCTGCTCAGAGGGGTGGTTGACGGGTTGAGGGTTGAGGCCCCCCCTCAACCATCTGGTTGACGGTTGAGACCCCCCGTCAACCCTTTAGTTGGGGGTTGAGGCCTCCGGGGCCTATTCACAGGCTCGCGCGTGATCACAAGATTGGAACAGCCCTGCCGCCAAAAAAATCGCTTCGCCTGCGGCGCGCTCTTGCGGTCCTCGTACCTTGAGCGCAATCCATAAGTAGGAGACGCTCACTGTCGCCATTCAGGCGCCTGATCCTTCAGCAAAGCGATGGCCTACCAGGTACGAGTTCAGATGCGCGCCCGGCAGAAGACGCTTGTGATGCCGCATGCATGCAGTGGAATGCGCACAGAGAACGGACGGCAAGAGAAGGCAAGGGAAGGAAGATAAACGGCTGGTGAAGCTCAGCTCACGGCGTAGTATTGCGGTCACTAACCATTCACGGCAAGAGTCACGGTGAATGCTGCCGCATAAAAGCAACAGAGTCGCAGTTGGCGCGATGGTCTTGTCGCGGTTATATAACGACTTGACGTTGCACACGGCCATAGACGCAGTATCTGTTTGGCGAGCCTCAAGCAGCGAAAGCAGGCGCGAGAAATTAATGTCAATCCTGAGATCTCAATTTTGGCGCTAGTTTCGTTTTCTGGTACATCATGACGACTTGGGTCTCATGTAGCTCTCGACGGCTCTTCGACGGCTCTTTCTGGTTGGATCAGACAGTGCTATCAGTCAACAACACAATGCCGAGAGCAGGGCGGCCTTCGAGCAGGGCGGCCTTCGAGGCAACTAAGTTCCTGCTGCATTTTTCATCGTACAACTTGATGGCGGGCGGACGTGTCGAGCATGGAAGGCGGCCATTGCTCAAACCTGTTCGAGTTGGCCTCCGGGAACAAGGGTGCGTGGCCGGCGCGGTCTGTTTCACGTGCAATAAGGGCAACGCCATCAACATCGCGAACATGGGCCGACATGCCTCCGACATTTCTCAGGGCTCGGACGGAAGCTCTGCAGACAGCCAGACCGCTCTGCGCGGTCGGACCGACTTTTTCAGACTTTGCTATTCTGGATACTGAGGGTATGTGCTGCTAGATCTCACTGAGCTGAGCTCGTATCTGGCTTTGGTAAGCAGTTTTGAGTTCGGTAATGTCTCCGGAGACGGAGGGCCGCGTCCGCGGACGACCATGACGTCGGCCGGGAGCTGAGAAGCGCACCCAGCGAGATCGCCCGAGATCGCGCGATTCTGCAGCACCTCGGCACTCGGCGAGGCGGATGGGTTGGGAGCGAGGGGGCGCAAGTGTGCAGTGCGGTAGATGGTCAGCTCGGGGCGCGTGAGCCGCTAGGTGAGCCGGACTTGTGAGCCGCTCGGCTTTCATTTCTCTCTGCGTTCTCGCACATGGAGTGCGAGGTATCTCGTCTGTCGCCGTCCCAAAACTGTCACTCCCCTTTCTCCCGGCCGGGGTGGGGCGCGCGCGGGGGCGGCGGGTGTGCGGGATGTCTGTGGGCCCGAGAGCGATATGCCATGTCCGCCTTGCGTTTGTTTCATAACATCGAAGGCTAAGCTCAAAATGAAAATAAACCTCACAAGAAAACTGCCGGGAGGCCCGAATGGCGGCCGACCAGCTGATAAGGACTTGCGAGTTTCCAACTTTGGTACACTCTCACTTTGATATTTCATCCCGCGGTGCACACTCAAAGTCCGGGAATCTCACGGACGCGCGCGTTTGGCCGGCTAGAATAAGGCCGGGCTGGCGTTCTTTCCGCCGCTGTCCCAGCATGTCCAGCATGCCGACCGCCGCCGTACCAAAGCTAATTGTTTTCGACCTCGACGCCTGCCTGGTGCGCGTAGTATCTGACACCTCCGGCCGCCGACCGTGACGTTAGTCAGAGGCGGCGGCAGCGCGCACGCGTCCCTGACACCGCCGCCCGCCGCCTGGCAGTGGACGCCCGAAATGTACGAGCTCTCTGGCCGCCCGACAAAGTACGACGCGGCGCGCGGCGGCGTCGCCGCCGGCGGTGACGTGGTCCGCCTCTTCTCGGGTGCGGCCGCAGTGCTCGCGCGCTTTTTGCCTGGCGGCGACCCGCGGCTCTCGAGCGCCACCGTCGCGGTTGCCTCGTCAACCACGGAGCCTGCGTACGCCGCCACCTGCCTCGAGAATCTTCCCGTCTCCCCGGAGCGGGGCGAGACAGTGGCCGATCTCGTGGATCACCGGCAGATCTATCCGGGCTCCAAGGGGCGGCAACACTTTCCAGCGCTGCAGCGGGAGACGGGAGTCCCGTTCGACCAGATGCTCTTCTTTGACGACTGCACGTACGGGGACAACTGCGGCGACGTGGCGCGAAGCTGCCCCGGCGTGGCTTGCGTTCGCACGCCCCACGGGCTGACGGAGGCATTATTCGACGCCGGGCTCGCAGCCTTCGCGAGGGGCGAGCGGGGTGTGCTGGACGCGGTGAAGGACGCGGTGAAGTAGCGCAGGCGGAGTTGCTTTACATAAGAATCGCGACTCTGTCCGCCCCCTTCGCACGGTAGTCGCACACCACCGGAGGACCGGCGCTGCGCGCCCCCACAAAGGTCAAAGCAGAACACTGGGCGGAGGACGGCTCAAAGACAATGACAACGTTCTGCCCCCGTGCGCGGAGTCCATAACCATATCTCGTTTTTGTAAAATGAACTCGGGGGCACGGGACGCGGCACAAACGGGGCACCGGGGAGGCACGTAGTGACGCAAGGGAGTCTAGGCGACGATGGCGTCCTCCGACGCGCCGCAGAGCGAGCCCCTGGAGCTCGGGGTCGCATGAATCTCAATCTCTCC